GATGTCTTCAACGTGTTTGGAATGAGTTTTGATCAATTTTGGGTATTTTGGCAAAATTTGGAATTTTTAGCCAAATTTGGGTATCAAGGGCAGTTAGGTAATTTGGAGGTGCCTAGGGGCAAAATACCAAGTTAAGCATTTCAGATAGAATTGGATAGATATCCATTCTAAATGAACCATGGATCAATTTAATCCTCATTTTGGGTCCTTATGGATTGGTTTTAGCTAGAATATTGTGAGGATATTGTGTATCCTAACTCCAAACCAACACCTAGGGTCAATCCTAAGGCCAAGTAATCCTATAGGAACTCCTCTTGAATCCTCTCACAATGATCTTACCTACTAAATGCTAGAAGTTAAGATCAATATGTGAAACTTCAAGTTGAGTAAAGAGAAAGGCTTTGAATTTCTAATGGTGGGGTACCTCTTCTAATTTTCTAAGACTAGTCAATAGGAAAGTCCTATGGCTAGACCTAGGCTACTAAAGAAGTTTTCTAGACCTCAACCAAAAGTGAGGTCAACAGTATTAATGAGAATACTCCCTACTTGATAATTTATTATTATTATTGTTATTACAATGACATCATTATATGGGTTTCCCTTTTAAAGGAGATCCTCGTTAGTGAAATAGATAAGTGGATGGTTCTTGAGCTTCGGAGCAAAGGTGGCAACACAGAGTTCCTGTGTTTGCTGCCTCTTCCGGCTTGTTCTTCACCGTGGCTTGCTTTCTACGAAGATTGCAAGCACATACCCTCAATGTGAATGGTGTTGGAGTGAATGAGCCCATCAGTGGCTCCTTCCACGGGATCTTTGCATTGTCTTTTGGTTGCCACTCTAGGGGTGATGAATTCTTTCAACATCCCCTCCTTTATCAGCTCCTCAATCAAGATTTGCAGGTGTTTGCACTTCTCTTTTCTACAATCCCAAAAGAAAGCTTTGGCCCTCATCAGCGTCGCTTTCCTGAAGTAGTCCTTGTCCTGGGTGGCGTAAACCATCTCGGTCATAAATACCCTATGTGGGGTTTTGCAGGGCACCTCGTGATTATATCGACGGTGTTCACGGTGGAATGATGACTAGTAGTTCTGGGCCTCGGTCTATCACCTTTGGTCCTCCCGATGTTGGGTAAAGTGATTGTCAGGGTGACCGTCATAGTGAGGGTGGTTTCATGGTCTTGTGCTTTGCATGGGTTGTCTATGTTGTCTTGTTGTGGACTTTTCTGGTGTCTCTAATCAGCAGGATCAGAGGCATTCTCATAGACGACAATGTATTTTTTGGCAATCTCCAAAATCTCAGCCATGTTTTGTGGTTCTCTAAGTTTGAGGTCAAAACAGACCGTCTCTGAACTTACTCTTTGCGTCAGTGCGACCTAAGCCATGTTAGGCTTCAAGTTCTTGACATCTATCATTTCGCTCTAGAAATGCATGATAAAAAATTGTAAGTTATCGTCGGCCCTCTGCTTCAACTGCCACAAGGATCTAGCGCTCTTCTTGTGCCTCAAGGCACTGATGAAATGCGGTTGGAAAAGTTTTCTAAACTCTGCAAAATAGGTGATTACCCTCACGGGCAATCCGTCAAACCACCTTAATGCAGCCGGTCTCAGCATTGTGAAGAAGAGCTTACACTTGAGGGCATCAGAAATTTTTAATAGGCATATGGATAATTTGAATGACAAGAGATGTTTGTTGGTATCTAATCTTCTATTATACATCTCTAAGACCGAAAATTTGAACTTCTTCGGAGACCTATAGGAAGAACGCATTCTCCGACTGCCTTTGTACCTCAGTTCACATCGGTCAGCTTCTCTCCACCACGAGGGTGGATTCGATGTTGTCTTGGTATAGGTCGTCATCGGGCTTCTCCTACACTTGGATCACTCTCCTTCCGTTGTTGGCTGGTAGTTCCCCTTAAGGGGGGTTGGGTATTCCTTGTCGTGTTGGCTCACTTACTGGAACCGAGGTCGTTGTTAAGGCAGCGGCCACCCTAAAGACTTCTGCAAACTATCATGACATCATGTTAGTGATTTGAGTTCTCAAATATTGCAGGCATTGTTGAACAAATTCTTCCATGAACTCTCGAATGCATGTTGTTTTTTCTTCGGTCCTCTGGCTAGACTCTCCCTACTACTGTTGTTGGGCTCCTTTTCTTGTTGAAGACAAGTTTCTATGCTCACCGTGTCTTAAAGGTTGTTGAATCCAAAAATGTTTGGAAAACACGCCCAAGAAATGGAACATGTTATTAAGAAGTGATGGAGAGAGTGAGAGAGAGAGAGAGAGCAATAATAGACATATCAAATGTCATCTTCATTCATAATAGGGACCCCTATATATATGTTTATGTCCCAATATTACAAAAATGCATATTAGCTCCCTCATTATTTACTTTTTAGGAGGGGCACTTGAGTAATTGCAGAGTTATTTGCATAAAATAAAACAAGGGGACAATTCAACTGATGATGGTTGATCGTCTGCCAATCCTTTGCTCGGTCTATATAAAGTTCGAAAGAGGTTCTCTGTCAATCATTCTGAAAACTGATTACCACCCTACGAGACTTTCTCTTGGCATCTTCTGTCAATCATTCAGATAAGGTGATTGTTTCGCCAATATTCATCTGGAAAAGATCATTGGTAGCCCTTCGCTCGATCATTCACACCTCCTTTCTGAGCTTCTCATTTGCTTTGAGATTCGTGTTGGCACACTATTATGTGTACAACTTAATATTTTTTATATGTAGCTTTGTATGTACCATATATCGTGCAATACTCGATAATAAAAAAAAGGTTGCCAAACATAAGGAGACCAACAAATGAAGAAAAATTATCACGTCAGGGCTTCGGGCGTAGAGATATGTCCTATGTGCAATGAATCATCTCCAAGTGGAGCTGACAGAAAAAATAAAAAAAAAAATTGTTTTCTTGTGATACGGTCTGATAACACAGGAGAATATTCCTCCTGTGTTATTCCGCGTTATTCAAGTTTTATTATGATAGTATTGATGTTCTATTGTGTTATTATAACACCAGAAATATTCTCATAACACAATAACACATGAATATCACCACAATAACACCTGAATAACGAGGGAATATTCTTCTGTGCTAAAACGATTTTTTTAAAATTTTTTCATAACATCCACGTATCATGATTTCATTGGACTCTGGAAGTATCTATACGTCTGGAGTTCAGATGTAATATTTGTTCACAAATGAATGCAACTATTTTTTCTTAAAGCTCAATAAAAACCAACAAAAATTTTCTCCCCTTCTCCTTCTTTCCTTTCTTCTTCATCTTCGTTCTCTTCTAAGTGCTCTTTTCTCCAATATTGCTCCTTCCAAGATGAAAATTATTTACCAACAAATTTAAATCAAATATTAAAACATTGAACCTTGATAAAAAAAAAAATTCATTCTTCATTCAAAATAGCAAATATGTAATTGCTATAATTATGTTTATATCCTTTCCTTATAAGGTTAAATTTTATTTGATAAGATCCGATATTACCCAATTCACTGTCCTTCAATTATCATCACAAAAATAAAATAAAAATTAAAGGGGCATTTACATACATGCCCTTTTCGCTCCCCTTCTCCTTTTCATCTTCCTCTCCCGTCCTAAACCCCTACCAGTCGAGAGATTATTGCGTGCGGACACCGCATGCATCTCTGCATGCGGTGTTCGATTCTGGCCGTAGATCACGGTGATCTACGGTCAGGATTATTTCCGTTTTTTTAAAAAAAAAATAAAAAATTTTAGGTGAGGCCCACCGAAAGGAATAATTTTTCCTACCATTCACCACAGACACGAAGCGCAACTTACCATTAAGCTAGCTGCGTGCGGACGCAGATCCGCATGAAATAATTTTTCCTGCCGGTCACCACAGACACGAAGCGCAACTTACCATTAAGCTCAAAGGCGTCGCCTTTCATCTCTTTCTTCAAAACTATATCATCAAGTTCCCTCCTTTTTCTCAAAACCCTTTCTTCCCCCCACGCAGATGGCTGTTACTTCTCTCTATAAGTCCCACCTTATCTTCCTCAATCTCTCCTTCATTATCTTCCTCTTCTGTATCTTCTTCTACCCTTTGCCTTCTTCGAACCAGTCCATCTCTCTCTCCTCGATCCTCAAACGCTCGTCCCCAGCAAACCCTAATGATTGCAGAGCATTAGAAGCTTTCGAAGATAGCGAAACTAAGTGCTCCTACCTCAAAACCAATCATCACTGTGGCAGTAACGGCTACTTGGATTACCTCCATCTCTTTTACTGCATCTATGGCGATTCTCCTATTCTGGGTTACATCATCCTCTTCCTCTGGCTTCTGATTCTCTTCTACTTTCTTGGTAGCACTGCTTCTCAATATTTCTGCCCATCACTTGAGGGCCTCTCTCGTGTGCTGAATCTCTCCCCAACCATCGCCGGCGTTACCCTTCTCTCACTCGGCAACGGTGCACCAGATGTCTTTGCAAGCATCGTCTCCTTCGCCGGCGGCAACGGTAACAGTGAGATCGGTCTTTGCAGTGTTCTCGGTGGCGCCTTTTTTGTCTCTACTGCTGTCGTGGGTGTTATCAGCATCTGCGTTAGCAACAGCAGCTCATGGAATCATGCTAGGGTGTTATCAGCGTCTGCGTTAGCAACAGCAGCTCATGGAATCATGCTATGGCCATTGATCGTTTTAGCTTTACCAGAGACCTGTGTTACTTACTCTTCAGCCTCTGTTTTCTTCTCCTGATACTTGTCGTTGGCCAAATTCACATCTTGGGGTCCATGTTCTGCATTTCTCTGTACATTCTCTATGTTATCATGGTCTCCACCGGGAAATGTTGCAGGAAGGAGTTTGAAGTGCCATTGTTAGAATCCATTGAAGTGGAGCAGCATCAGTCCGTTGAGGATCTTCATGAAAGCAAAGAAATTGAAGCAAAGCAGAGTTTTTTAAATTCCTGGGTTTGGTCAAGCTGGTTCCTTTTCTTGATAGAGCTTCCACTCTTTCTCCCGAGAAGATTAACAATCCCAGTTGTGACAGAAGAGAGATGGTCTAAACCATTTGCGGTTGCTTCAGTGATACTGTCGCCAACTCTTCTTGCAACTTTATGGAATTCCAAGACTGTGGGGGTGGGTTCTGAAGAAAGCATCACAATCTTTCTTTTTGCTGGTTTATTTGGAATGATTCTTGGATTTGCTGCCATGGAAGGAACTGAAAGTTCCCATCCACCAAAGCTCTTACTTCCATGGCTTGCAGGTGGCTTTCTCATGAGCGTGGTGTGGAGTTACATGGTAGCGGGAGAACTTGTTTCACTCCTTGTGTCATTTGGGCATATAATTGGAGCAACTCCTTCTGTTCTTGGAGTCATAGTTCTGGCTTGGGGGAATTCACTTGGGGACCTCATATCTAATGTGGCCATGGCTGTTAATGGAGGGGAGGATGGAGCTCAGATTGCAATAGCTGGTTGCTATGCTGGTCCAATTTTCAATATCTTGGTTGGGTTGGGGATGTCACTGTTTATGTCTTCTTGGGGATCTTATCCTGAAGCATTTGTGATTCCTGAGGACCCTTTTGAGTTTGTGATTATTGGATTTCTTGTGGGAGGATTGTTGTGGGCTCTGGTTATATTGCCAAGGAAGGGGATGAAGCTGAATTGGAGTTTGGGGGTTGGATTGCTGACTATTTATTCCTTTTTTCTTTGCTTTAGGCTGCTTGAAAGCCTTGATTTGTTGAAAATTGGAGTTTCTGGACCTTGAAGCTGGGCATGTAAATTTCCCTCTTTTATTTTTTTTATTTTTTTGGGTGGGGGATTGAGGTGGGGCTTTTTACATACGTACCCCAATTCCTATGTATTTACATATCTAATATCTGAACTTTGCTTTTTAACCCTGTATCCTAATCTAAGTGTAACTGTGTAAGTATATCCTCATATCAATCAGTGCACGTAAACTAATGCTGTGTTTTTAGCTTGGGGACTCTTTAGGGTCTTTTTGATTCGGCGGTGGGAGTGCGGTGCAGGGAGAGGCCGCGATTAGGCCGCGAAACGCGGCTATTTGGTTTGACAATATGAGAGTGATGGGATGCCGTTTTGGCGAAACGCAGGCCACAGATCAAACCTCATGACCCATGTTCGAGCCATTTTAAATACACTCGTGCTCCTCTACTGTTCGATGAAGCCATCCTCTACTGTTTGACGGCCAAAACCCTGGTCCCTCTTCTGTTTGACGAAGTTGTTTTCTGGGGAGAGTGGTAAGCGAGGTTTTTGAGCAGGAAGGGGTACAAGAGGATGGGTTTCAGGATTTAGTATAATTTTATTTTAGTTAGTTTTAATTAATTTAATTATATAATAAATAAAAATCAATAAATATGTTATCAAGTTAATTATAATTTTTGTATAATTCATTCCATTGAATATCAAATTAATTATAATTATAAAGATTTATATGTATTTATTTTATAATTAATTAATGCGAATTAAATTATATATTAAATTCAATTAAATTATATAATTTAATTAATTATTAATTAATTTTAAAAAAAATAATAATTCAATGATTAATTAATGAATAAGATTTTGTTGGATAAATAATAATTCAATAATTTATTGGTATTAAGTAATTATTTTAATAAGTAGAAAATTATTTATTAATATAATTAGAAATAAAATTTATTAGAGTTATGTTACAAACAACATTATTAAACTGAGGCAGAATAGTAATATGTCCAGAAACAACTGTTATAAAGTTTTTTGATATAAATAGTCAGTCAGTTTCACCGCAGCAGCTTCTTGGGACAGCTAGACTACAGTTGATAAGCTGCAACTGCCCAAAACAGACCTTTAGTTGCTTGTAAAAGATATGTAGAGTGAATTAAATGTGGCATATTATGAATACTTGAAGGATGATTTGATTAGTTGTAAAATATTTGAAGCAGATTTTTTTTCTCTACTTAAATTTATGCAGATTAAAATAAAATATGTGTATTCTAAATAATTATTTCGTTGTCTGTAAAGTAAACACAAATATTTTATTTTTCTATTATAATTATATATCGTATAAATTTTATAGATTTACATATCTATTTAAAATATTCATATTTATTTATATAATATTTAATAATAAAATTATATTAAATAAAATAAATGACAAAATTTAATTTATATTAAATTATTTAATATTAATGATAATTTTATATAATTTTAAAATTAGTGTTATATAAATAAATATAAAAATTGATTTAGAATAAAACAAAATTAATAATTCATATGCTATATTCATATCAAAATTAAGCAATCACCTACACTAGTAGAGCTTAACAAAAAATTGAGTGTTCAAACGTGTTAGCTCAAAATTAATTTTAATTTAATTTATATTAAGAAATTAAATATATAGGACCCCAAACATTAGGATTTGCATGTCATACCCAAAGTTTAGTATTTAAGAACAAAAAACCTAAAATCATTTTAATACCCCATGTGTAGCATTTTGTTTTGCCTCCCATTAAAATCTCGTCTTTTCTTTCACAGCCAGATGTCGACGTGTCATGTCACCAAGAAATCACATCGCAATTCATCGATGTACAGTTTCTTCATCATTACTTTAAAAATATAGTTTTATTATGTTGTTTGTGAATCATACCCAGAAGTTAAAGCATACCAAAAGAGAGAGATAGAGGGACAAAGAGAAATAAACAACAAAACATAGTCTATCACTAATTTCGCATAAAATAATCTCTATATTTATATAAGAGAGAGTGTAATACTTGAAATTAATATTTTTGCCCTTTCTTTAATGGGGTCGTTATAAGATATCTTTGATATCTTACATACATGACTCTATTACTCGATTGCCCTATGATTTGATTGGTTGGGTTAGCCTGAATTTGATTTGATAAGGCTGGTTCGATCGGCTGGGCTGAGTTTGCATAACTGATCGGTTGGATTCGATTAGTTTCTGGGTTAATAGGAATGGCTTATCGGCTAGACTTTTCTAATCAGTTGATTTAGTCTTATTGTCGATGCTCGATTCCTAGATAAGGATCTCATGTCAGTAAAACTAGACTAGGGTATTGAGTAAATCGCGAGTCACTGCAACTCAATATATAGCTTATTTCTTGATGAGATGGTCGTTAGGGGTGATTGAGCGGCTCAGTTATATGACAGAGTGTTTGTCCTTGATGAGGAAACCTCAGGTGCGTTCATGGGATGACAGGTGGGATGAACTGCATTCTTTCCTCGGATAGTATTTACTAAAAGGTAGCTTGATGCTTTAGCTCAGCTTTCTCATAGTGGTTGACTTATATGTCTATCTCATTTAGCACAACGAGTTCGGATTTGGTTCATTAGGTTTTCTTCATGACTCGGTCAGTTTTGGTCTTCCTTGATTTGGCTCGAACTACTGCATTCGGCCAAATAAGTGGATTTTTTGGTCTTCTATCAGTGGGTCCTCCTTTGTTCGATTTTCTTCTGTCTAAACTAATGGATCTTCTTAGGATTAGCGCTGTCACATTTTTCATATACATAATTAGTTTTTCAATTCTCTTGCTTCTTGAAAACGACACTTTGATAAGAACATGAGAATTTAAGGCAAAAGTAAATATCATTTATTCTTAATAAATGAAACAACAATTAAACTCCACATCACCCAGGGTCAACCCTAATGTCAGAGGGTCCTATGGGGAACCCCTCTTGAGCTCTCTTATATCAGCTCCACCTACTAAGTGCTAGAGGTTATAACCAATATGTAGAACTTCAAGATGAGAAAAAAAGAGTTTGAGATTTCAATTGGTGAGGGTACCATTACTTGTCTCTAGGAATAGTTAACAGGAAAGTCCTATGGCTAGATCCTAGGCTCCTAAGGAAGAAAGATTATACCTCAACAAAAATGAGATCAATAGGTCAACTGACTGTAAACATCCAAACTACTTAAAAGAAGACAAAATATAAAGCGAAAGATGAACCTCAACTAAATCATCAATGATAGTTTGGATGAAGTTAGTTGATGAGTCTGACATAAGTTAGTGTTGGGACTCATACTATCAGTTTGTCTGTATTCATTTGATATGTCTGCCCAAATTATTGATTGATATTTACATTTTTTTTTCCTTTTGTCTGGTTTACAGGTAAGCCCATTTATGGACTAAACCTTCTACCCCAACCTAAATAACTTCAACTTAACTTCTTAAAATAAAACTCATAACCAAAATTAAATCACATAAATCACTACATTCACAACCATAGAAACATCATACATTTAAACAACCTTGTTTGACACCAAATAAAAATGATTAAAAACTCATTTTCGATTTAGAAACATGAAGGATAACATGCTCTGTAAGCATATGTATAAAATATTGTTCATATTTCTTATCTTCAGACCCTCACTCATTGCACGGAAAGAGGTAGTTTGACCCGTAAAAACCACAATCTTATCGAGTAAGTTATGTCTATACATATTGATTGACCTTTTGAGTAGACATGCTATGGATTTATCATCAAGGACTTGCATAACCTTTTACACAGCTTGTTTTTATGCACTTATTATTACTTAAAAACATTTGAGTGGGGTGAGGCATAAAATATTTAGATTTAAAATTTAGGAATATGTTTGGATTAGTTTTAGGACATCATGCATATCATACATACCTAGGCAGCTTGGTTTATCATAAAACCTATTACTCTTAATAAACAACAACCTACCCTATCTTGCATCATCGAGACCGACCATGCATGGTTTTGAATGCGATTAGGTGGTTTAAATGATAGCCCATTTTCAGACAGGGTTGTAAGTCCATTGAATTCTATGTTTTCCCTTCTTTTAGGTTAAGGTTTTGAAGTTTCATTTCTCTCGGTGAACTTCACCCTAGGTCTCTGAGGCTGTTCATCTAGTGATGGCGTAAATCCTCACCTATAGGCTCCTACATGATCGTATGTCATGCAGTATAAATCCTAACATTCTAATAAAACATCAGAGTGAAACTTTAAGATTCTCTTCAAAAATGTCAAGTGTCATACAACAGGATTACTCGAGATATCACAGAGGTTGCCTCGATATCTTTGAGTGTCCCCTACCTTTTCCTCTTTTGGCTTCTGATAACAACAATTTAAATTTCAAGCCTTTCTCATTTGGAAATCCAATGTCCAATCATGGAAGCCTAAACTTAGAAATTTCTTGAGGATAAAACTTCCACTTTAATTAAGATTTTTCTTAAATAACTTCAATTGCTTAAAATGTAATTAAGTATAGGGACTTTCCCTTATAGGAAGAAGAAGACCCAAAACTAATTTAAACCATATTTAGTCTTTATCTCAAATAGTGGAATGATCTATGAGGTTTAAACAACAGATCAATGCAGATACCTAATGTTTTCGTAGTTTGAATAATCAAACCTATTATAAAAAATTGTATTCTACTTTTAGAGGTGGTTTACTACTTATGATGACGTGCTTGATCATTTGAACTACCAAAACATTTGAATCTACACAACATTCAAAAGTCCCATGTCGCTGCAAAAACAAAACTCAAGGCAATCAATGCCAAGAATACAATAAGGTTAAGCATAAAGCATAGCATGTTACTCAAAACTTATGCAAGTACTCATCACATGTAAGGAATATAGAATGAAAAGAGACATAATATGCATATTTATCTTATTCATAATGAAAGGATTGATTATTATTTGTTTCTCAATTTTCATGGTGCAAATTACAATCATGTTTACAAACTTGCTACATAGTTTAAGTTCATTAATATTGTACATTCAAGGATGCATGAAAATGTGTAAAAGCACTTACTTTTAATCATGACAAAATGCAACTATCATATACTTTTAATAATGATGGGATTGACTATCTTACATTATGATAATGTTTCATTTCATGGCTTAGTGT